GGCTACGAGAAGCATTTGGTTGGAGACCAATCACAGGCAAAACCTCTTGGTGCAATTCATTGGTTGGGTGATGCAATTCCTCGATCTCCCTCTGTCCAAAGATCCTCTGGTTTGGTGAAAAGCATTGAAACCTACAATCGCCAACTGTTTTCCGTAAGTCAGCCATTGGCGACTGAACAAACTGAGCCCAGCCGGTCTGCTTTTATTGCGCTGTCGCATGATTCACAAGTTATGATCAGAGCTCCCCTGAAAGCCACCAATAGCTCATCTCACCCCCAAATGCAATACTGTGCGAATGGTGGCGAGTGTGGAATAATGGGATTTGAATCAAGCTTGTTGGAAGGTTCCAACAACAACAAACCCAATGTCCGAAGCAGTCTTTACGAACATTTCAAGGCGAGGAAGTTTGAGAACGCCTGTGAAATCGCACGTAAGCCATCCCACCGTGTAAATTGTACTAGAAAGTTGTTTGCAATCCTTTCTTTAATTTTTCAAGCGTTAGATGATCCTTGCATGGCAGAACTTGAAGAACATTGTGTACATGTATTACAAAAGGCTTTGAATGAAATTTGGGAGGCGAAATGCCTGTCTAGTGGCAAACTCTCATCATGATGACAGGCCTCGTCGCCCGTAATGTGTTTCCAATCACACACACAATGACTTTCCATCACGCTAGAGCTTAAGGAAGCTGTTCATTCTATAGAAAATTAGAGTGCTATGAATTATATAGTTTAAAAACAAGGGAACGGAGGAAGAAATTATTCAATGACGGTAGAGTAAATGAGCGTCCCTTCAATCAGGTTTACTGGCTTCACTCCATAATACGAAATAGGTATTTTAAGTGACATGTTTAAGCCAATGTCGACGTGGTCCGGCATCTGAATTTTTAGTGATGTGGTTGTAATAACCCTTAAAGCCTTAGTGATAACTGTTTTAGAGGGACTAACTATTTCATTCAGGGAAAATTAATGTGGCTGAACAACACCTGACATTTTCATTTAACTTCCTTGCTGATGCAGTCCAGAATCACACGACAGGCATGGCCATTTAAGGTAACAGATCGAGTATATTAGCAATTTCATAGAGAATCAAAAACCAAATTTGCAATTTCT